GGGTGATGTTGTGTGTGCTTGTAGAAATATTGTCATTAAGGGTGACATTGTGTGAGATTGTAGAAATATCGTAATTAAGGGTGACATTGTGTGCGATTGTAGAAATATCGTTATTAAGGGTGTCATTGTGTGCGCTTGTAGAAATATCGTCATTACGGGTGACATTGTGTGTGATTGTAAAAATATCGTGATTAAGGGTGACATTGTGTGTGATTGTAGAAATATCATCATTAAGGGTGACATTGTGTGTTATTGTAGAAATATCGTCATTAAGGGTGACATTGTCTGTGATGGTAGAAATATCGTCATTAGGGTGACATTGTGTGTGATTTTAGAAATATCGTCATGAAGGGTGACATTGTGTGTGCTTGTAGAAATATCGTCATTAAGGGTGACATTGTGTGTTATTGTAGAAATATCGTCATTAAGGATGACATTGTGTGTGATTGTAGAAATATCGTCATTAGGATGACATTGTGTGTGCTTGTAGAAATATCGTCATTAGGATGACATTGTGTGTGATTGTAGAAATATCGTCCTTACGGGTGACATTGTGTGTGATTGTAGAAATGTCGTCATTAAGGGTGACATTGTGTGTGATTGTAGATATTTCGTCATTAGGATGACATTGTGTGTGCTTGTAGAAATATCGTCAGGAAGGGTGACATTGTGTGTGATTGTAGAAATATGGTCATGAAGGGAAATTTTGTGTGTGATTGTAGAAATATCATCATGAAGGGTGACATTGTTTGTGCTTGTAGAAATATCGTCATTAAGGGTGACATTGTTTGTTATTGTAGAAATATCGTCATTAAGGATGACATTGTGTGTGATTGTAGAAATATCGTCATTAGGATGACATTGTGTGTGCTTGTAGAAATATCGTCATTAGGACGACATTGTGTGTGATTGTAGAAATATCGTCCTTACGGGTGACATTGTGTGTGATTGTAGAAATGTCGTCATTAAGGGTGACATTGTGTGTGATTGTAGATATTTCGTCATTAGGATGACATTGTGTGTGCTTGTAGAAATATCGTCAGGAAGGGTGACATTGTGTGTGATTGTAGAAATATGGTCATGAAGGGAAATTTTGTGTGTGATTGTAGAAATATCATCATGAAGGGTGACATTGTTTGTGCTTGTACAAATATCGTCATTAAGGGTGATGTTGTGTGTGCTTGTAGAAATATTGTCATTAATGGTGACATTTTGTGAGATTGTAGAAATATCGTTATTAAGGGTGACATTGTGTGCGATTGTAGAAGTATCGTTATTAATTAAAAAGGGTGACATTGTGTGTGATTGTAGAAATATCGTCATTACGGGTGACATTGTGTGTGATTGTAGAAATATCGTGATTAAGGGTGACATTGTGTGTGATTGTAGAAATATCGTCATGAAGGGTGACATTGTGTGTTATTGTAGGAATATGGTCATTAAGGGTGACATTGTCTGTGATTGTAGAAATATCCTCATTAGGGTGACATTGTGTGTGATTTTAGAAATATCGTCATGAAGGGTGACATTGTGTGTGATTGTAGAAATATCGTCATTAAGGGTGGCATTGTGTGTGCTTGTAGAAATATCGTCATAAAGGGTGACATTGTGTGTTATTGTAGAAATATCGTCATTACGGGTGACATTGTGTGTGATTGTAGAAATATCGTCAGGAAGGGTGACATTGTGTGTGATTGTAGAAATATGGTCATGAAGGGAAATTTTGTGTGTGATTGTAGAAATATCATCATGAAGGGTGACATTGTTTGTGCTTGTACAAATATCGTCATTAAGGGTGATGTTGTGTGTGCTTGTAGAAATATTGTCATTAATGGTGACATTTTGTGAGATTGTAGAAATATCGTTATTAAGGGTGACATTGTGTGCGATTGTAGAAGTATCGTTATTAATTAAAAAGGGTGACATTGTGTGTGATTGTAGAAATATCGTCATTACGGGTGACATTGTGTGTGATTGTAGAAATATCGTGATTAAGGGTGACATTGTGTGTGATTGTAGAAATATCGTCATGAAGGGTGACATTGTGTGTTATTGTAGGAATATGGTCATTAAGGGTGACATTGTCTGTGATTGTAGAAATATCCTCATTAGGGTGACATTGTGTGTGATTTTAGAAATATCGTCATGAAGGGTGACATTGTGTGTGATTGTAGAAATATCGTCATTAAGGGTGGCATTGTGTGTGCTTGTAGAAATATCGTCATAAAGGGTGACATTGTGTGTTATTGTAGAAATATCGTCATTACGGGTGACATTGTGTGTGATTGTAGAAATATCGTCATTAGGATGACATTGTGTGTGATTGTAGAAATATCGTCCTTACGGGTGACATTGTGTGTGATTGTAGAAATGTCGTCATTAAGGGTAACATTGTGTGTGATTGTAGATATTTCGTCATTAGGGTGACATTGTGTGTGTTTGTAGAAATATTGTGATTAAGGGTGACATTGTGTGTGATTGTAGAAATATCGTCATTAAGGGTGACATTGTGTGTGATTGTAGAAATATCGTCATGAAGGGTGACATTGTGTGTGATTGTAGAAATATAGTCATGAAGGGTAATTTTGTGTGTGATTGTAGAAATATCGTCATGAAGGGTGACATTGTGTGTGCTTGTAGAAATATCGTCATTAAGGGTGACATTGTGTGAGATTGTAGAAATATCGTAATTAAGGGTGACATTGTGTGCGATTGCAGAAATATCGTTATTAACGGTGTCATTGTGTGTGCTAGTAGAAATATCGTCATTACGGGTGACATTGTGTGTGTTTGTAAAAATATCGTGATTAAGGGTGACATTGTGTGTGATTGTAGAAATATCGTCATTAAGGGTGACATTGTGTGTTATTGTAGAAATATCGTCATTAAGGGTGACATTGTCTGTGATTGTAAAAATATCGTCATTAGGGTGACATTGTGTGTGATTTTAGAAATATCGTCATGAAGGGTGACATTGTGTGTGATTGTAGAAATATCGTCATTAAGGGTGACATTGTGTGTGATTGTAGAATATCGTCATTAAGGGTAGCATTGTGTGTGCTTGTAGAAATATCGTCATGAAGGGTGATTTTGTGTGTGCTTATAGAAATATCGTCATTAAGGGTAACATTGTGTGTGCTTGTACAAATATCGTCATTAAAGGTGATATTGTGTGTGCTTGTAGAAATATCGTCATTTAAGGTGATATTGTGTGTGCTTGTAGAAATATCGTCATGATGGATGACATCGTGTGTGCTTCTAGAAATATGGTTATTAAGGGTGACATTTTGTGTGATTGTAGAAATATCGTTTTTAAGGGTGACATTGTGTGTGCTTGTAGAAATATGGTTATTAAGGGTGACATTTTGTGTGCTTGTAGAACTATCACCATTAAAGGTGATATTGTGTGTTCTTGTAGAAATGTCGTCATTAAGGGTTACATTGTGAGTGCTTGTAGAAAGAAGCAATAAAGAACCATTTTTGGAAGGATTGTCTTAAAAGCATATCGTGATTTTGCAAAGCAAATAAGGCAAAGCACATTTCAAAATTTCCTTGCCGAGAGCATTTTCTTTAACTCCAATAGTGTTATATGTAAACAGATTTTCTTCAATAAAAGCATGAGTGAAAAAAGGCATAACTCAAATAATTCATATCCTTACCGATGGTAATACATTTATGTCCTTTACAGAATTTAAAGAATATTATAAAGAATATATATTATATTGTGAATGTTAATTTTTGTGTGTGTTGATTTCTGCGAAGAGCTTTCTTAAAAAATGGTATTTGTTTTACCAAGTGATCCTGTTTCCCCTAGTGTAAATTCGGTTTTAAAGGAACTTGCATCTGTTAAAAAGGGTTCAAAAAGACTTTACTTTATATTCCTTTCTTACAAAAAATTCATTAAATCACAGCTTAAATGGCAAAATGACACTGTCTTATTCCAAAATTTTGACTGGCAGAACATTTATACAATAATTGCAACAAATGTATATTTATTTAAAATTGGTAAGATTGAGAGTCCTCTGTGCAGTTTCTGTAGTTCTGAACAAGAAAGTATTTTGCATCTTTTGGGGGATGTCATGAAGTGAAGGCTTTGTTGGAATAAATTACTTCTTTGGAGAACTAATAGCTGTGACCATATTTATAATATGAATATGAAGTGCAGAACGGAAAGGAAAATGTAATTACTGATAGGGTTTTTGACTTGAGTTTAATTCTTTCAAGGCTTTATATTTTTAAACGTATATTAAAAAGGTAAACCTATCTCTCAAGAATTTCCAATATGAATTAAAAAAATACAAATTCAATAGAAAAACAAATCTTTACTGACAACTGTGAACAAAATACATTTTATTTGCAGTGGATGTCCTACCACTCATAGTTTCAAGACTCCAGTTAACTGATTTCAGTATACTAAATGTTCAGATATGTCCATCCTTTATAATGTTATATTATAATGTTTGGTATATTTACCATATTCCTTGGTCAAGTGTGAATGAAAGTTGTGAAAAATGTCTATCTTAGCTTTGCTTGATATGTTCCTGTGTATTCACACCAGCAGCTTATCACTATTCATGTAGACCTTTTGTATTGTTTGTTTATACTGTGTGTTCTTTCGGTATGCATGTGTGTGACAGTTTTATCTTGTTAAAACTCTGAATCCTTCATCATGTTTCTTTTTATTCTCCAAGAGGGCAGGAAATTCCCTGGTCCCTTTATCCCTACCTTTAACAGGGATTCAGTAATAAAATATCAATTACAAAAACAATTATTAAACTATTATTGGTAAGACAAGGTTACTAACTTATTCTTCTTTGCAATCTAAGATTATCAGAGTTTTAACAATCGCTTGAATGCTATTGTGACAGAGTAACCACTCTAAAAATGTGGTATTATTATATCAACATATTCAATTATACCTGCTTGAGGATCACAAGTGTATTAGTCTGTGACGGACAAAATTGCGTTGTTTATTCATAAATACCTTGGTTTCGTTGCAGACACATTGTTATTAGGCCCAAGATCTGAATTAGTGGACTTATTCCACGAGAAGTACTATAACCTTGGCAATATGTTGATCTTCCCCGACCATTACACACTGAGGTCGATTCCATGGGCTCCGGAGGGAGTGAAAGTAGCCGAGATCTTGTGCGAGTCTCGATGGAAGAAAGATGGCTCTCCGCAAGAAGCTTGTCCTCGGTATGTTGCAAGACAACAGTTTCAGAGATTGAGTGACCTTGGATTTGATTTGTATTCCGGCCATGAAATTGAATTTAAACTCTTTGACCAGGAAACCTTGGAGCCAGTGTTTACAGGAGAAGATGCGTTCAGCCACAGACTATTTAACAAACATAGCAAAGTGCTATTTCACTTTGATAAGCAATTTCAACAATCCAAGATAGACGTTGAAAGGTATCATCTCGAAATTGGACCTGGGCTTTTTGAAGCAGTGACAGAACCAAAGTATGGAATCGAGAGCGCGGACATGGCCTTCAGTCTACAGGAAGGCCTCTTGGAAATGGCTGATGCTGAAGGTCTGAGAGTCAGTTTCATGTCTCATTCTGTATATAATGAAATGGGAATCTGCAAGCATTTTAATTTTTCTCTTTGGAATAGATCTGGTGAAAACATGTTTTATGATGGAAGTTCCCCAGACAAACTGTCTGAAGTTGCCAAGAAATGGATTGCTGGTATACTGAAACACAGTAAAGCTATCTGCGCCTTTGCAAACCCTACCGTCAACTGCTATAGGAACCTGGGTAAACTTGCGTATCCGTCAATTATCTACTGGGGAATTGAAGACCGACAGTCATGCATTCGTGTTAAAAACGAAGGGCCTTCCAAAACATACTTTGAGAACAGACTACCAGGCGGAAAGAGCAACCTGTATCTCGTAGTGGCGTCTACTATTGCTGCAGGACTGGATGGCGTCATTAAGAACATGGAGTGCCCATCCCCGGGCAAACCAGAGAACGGTGAATCTCTCCCTCTTTCCCTGTCTGAAGCTCTGGATGAGCTGGAAAAGGATGAAGATTTGTCCAATGCCTTAGGGAAAGAGCTGGTGACATGGTTTGTCAAGAGCAAGAGGGATTCGGAGGTCGCTAAGTACAAATCGGTTAAGACCGACGAAGAAAAATTTGCTATGGAAACAGCAGCATATCTCTGATGTGTTAAAATCTCGAGCTATATATTCCCTTTAAATTCGTTTGGCACTTTAGTTATTAGACTCTAGTTTGATTGGACAGTCATAAAAATATGCCTCTGATTGAAACAGCCTATTTGTAAATGAGTTTACGCTGAAGCATATGTGTATGAGAAGGCACAAAGTCACTGTTGAAAGTAAAGGTGTCAGAAAGTGTTGGTTACAAAATATGGAGGATCAGCATCGAAAGACCGTGAAACGCCCGATAACAATCGATTCAAACTATTTGAAACAGAACAAGTCTGGCGTGGTCATGCCTAGCAGTTTAAAGGATGTTTATGTGGAGGCTATCCTTTGTTGTCATGAAATAGTATATTCCAGTTGGTGAAGAGACGCCAAACAAATAGAAGACGAGAAAAGAAGCCGTCAGAAAATGCAAAGTTCAACTACGGTATAAAGAAGTTCCACGAATTTGTCAGTTAGCTCAGAAATGCCATTACCATGAAAGAAACTGCCAATTGCCTAAATTATATTCTGATTGGTTATATTCTCAGTTAAGAAAAACTCTCACTTACGTATGAGTATCAATATCCTCTTTCTTTGGTTTATTTTTTAAAATATATTTACAAAATTGAAGACCCCATACATCTCCAGAATATAATAGGTGACAGCCCGCACCCACCCCTAAAATGATCACCAGAGACACGCACACACTCACATACATCACACGTACACACGTACACGCGCACGCACACATCCCCCACCCTCTAGCCACAAATTATGAACGGTCCCTTAGTCCCGTCCAGAACCAGCAGTTACACGCATACGCACTACTCACTTTCTAAAATAGCGGTTGCTCCTTCAGGTGATAAAGTTGCTGGTGATTTACCATTTAAATTGTATTTTCTGTTCTCCTGAGCATAGTTTTATACGTAGATATAAAGATTTCTGTTGTACGCTTTCGTAAAATAAGACGGACACCAGCAATGGGATGTTTCACAATTCTCCCTGTGATTCGGGGTTGAAAAAGTCCCTAAGAGTTTTGGTGCAATGATCGAATAAATGCCTCATTCTATTACAAATTATATATTCAAAAACACAATAACGCTTAATGCCGGACAATATTTACGTATGGAAATGTCGGATCAGTAACAATGGAGGCCTCACGCAGTCCTCCCACAGCAAATGAATGGCAACAGGTCATATATTGGTAACAGGGATGGCTCCGTGAAGACTGATTATGCAAATCGGTGATCTAATGAATAAAATAATATATCACAAAACCTAACAGTTTTTCAGTTATAACTTTAAAGTCCTTAGGAATGTGCTTCGGGAATACACATAGCATCTATCAGAACTGCCTTGAAATATAACAGTGTTCCTCTGATACTGTAACCCATGTTTGTCTCTGAACAGATCAAGGTTGTTTTAGGTGCAACACATCGGTGTCATGTCTCATTAGTCAGCTGAGATAACACACAGGACATCTATGTTCATGTTATCCACGGTTCTTCAATTTATTTGGCCAACAACGAACAATCTTTCGGCTTTTGACATATCCACAGTGCAAGATTCCACTGATTAATCAATCAAGGTATTATCGGTTAAACCGATGTAATTCATTCACCACATCAAACCGGTGTCCTCTCACTCAGATAGATTCTGTCAAAACAGGTAGCTCACATAACGGGGATTTGGCTGACTAGGGTTTTGATAACACTTACAGTCTGTTTGAGTCAAAATGATACCGATGAATCCCAATCTAATACCAAATCGGTTCATGATCAAACATTCATTTCAAAGCAGAATGTAATGAAAACATCAGACCAACTCTGGAAAATAGTTTAATAACGTTTGTCTCCAAAATTACGCAACAAATTATCATCATTTTGTTTTGATTTTCCGTGTAAAGTTTTGCGAGGGTAAAGTAACAGTAAACTGTTGCAGGAACAGCCTCATGGGCAAGAAGCACGTGTAATTGTGACGTCACATGAAGCATAGCCGATCGATTTATTGACACGGTACATGAGACAATGAAATTAACCTCTGACATCAAGTCCATTATTTCCAATGTTTATGATTTTTTATGGCGAAAGTGAAAGGGGTCGCCTTAAATATACCGTAGGTAAATTTGTTCAAACGCACTGCATGTACTGCATGTACAGCTGGGTTGTCAGACAACGTGCAACCGAGTCAGGCACAACCGAGGGGGTCGTATCAAAATCTCCACTTTTGAAAGTTGACAAACTTGACTGTTTTCAGAAAGAGTTGGTAAGAAATGCTATAGTTAAAATAAATGCTTTTCCTTACATTTTGCAAAAGTACATGGATACAGAACATTCGTTGACTATATCCAAATATCAGTTATGGAAACTTTTGCATATATTTGGGTTTCGTTACAAAAAGGTAAGTGGGGAAAACAGGTGGATGTTGTGTGAAAGAGCTGACATCGTGCGATTACGCAACACGTACAAAAACGTCAAGAGACTGGATTCGAACCAGTGTTTTTGGATGGAGCATGGGTGAACGCCAATCAAAACAAAATGATGATAGTTTGTTAAGTAACTTTTATATTTTGGGGACAAACGTTATGAAACGTTTTTCCAGAATTGGTCTGTTTTCATTAAATTCTCCGTAGTTTTAGTTTAAAAATATTTTATTCACAATGTGAAAAGGATCGTGGACAAGTCTTTCAACTTATTAAACCCCTCTCCGAAAATATTTACAATAACTTATAACATCACAAGACATTATTAGAAACAGAGACCGAGAAAAACTGAAAGATAACAGGGTGAAATGCTATAATACAAAAGGTGTATAGAGAGAAGACTACTGGAATCGTTTAGATTTGCATATATATTGATGTACATTTTTTAATATAATTCTGCGTAGAAATCATAAACCGATTTGGTGTCAGATTGTGATTCATCGGTATCATTTGGACCCAAACAGACTGTAGTCCAGATGAGCCTTTGTCTGTATCAACAAAAAGTTCAATTAGTGAGATTAGTGAAATTTATATTAAACTGAGATACATTGACATGGTTTTATTTGCATTTCTTTACATTGCTCATATATGTGTTGAAGTGAGACGACACACTGAAATGGTTTCAACTAGATCTACCACTGAGAAAGTATTACCAGCATAGAAGGTATTAAAAGTATATATGGCAAACTTTACCCAAATGATTTCATAACAATGGCGAATGCATGTGTAGACATCAGGTTCATAGACAACAACAGAGGCGGTCAGTATCCACAACTATCAATTCAGTGTGAAAGCTAGATGGAGGAGTGAGACTGTCTGCTGGCGTTGTCGACACAACGGTAGGGGATGCCCTGACACTCTCAACACAGAGAACAGGGTCCTGACAAGACAAACCGAAACATGAGTCTCATTAACCTATTCAGACAATGACCTACTTTTCGGCCGATCCGAATGTTCTCGTGTGAAAGTGAAAAGAGACACCACAAACAACTATGGTTACAGTGAATTCCTATTCCTTGTTTCATAAGAAAATGGTATTTACAAGTTAATTTTAATATGAAACTTTAATAACTTCGTATTTCTATATTTTATGGCGAGGATGAAGCAGCATCACCTTAACTAAGACGTCACATACTGCCCCTGTTTGATGAGGTCGTAAAATGTACCAAGTCCGTACCAGACCGCCAAACTATTCTAGCGGCAGAGCCTCGTTTTGAGATTTCCACGATTTCCAGATTTCCGTTTGTCAGAGCCCGTTGTACGACAGAGCACGCTGCACGACGTGTTTGCAAGGATTAGGCGGAGCTTAGTGTTGCAATATACAACTGCTTAGATGTATCAAATAATACTGATAAATATTTATGTATCCAGCTGAATGAATTGGTCTCACAATTCTGGACTGGTTATAGTACTAAGGTGCGCAACAGGATGGAACCCAGTCAGCAGGAAACGAGACTCTTGTGTAATCAATGTTTTGACTTGCTTGGCCAGCCACATGACCATCGAAGTGACATAACGTCGGCTGAAGTGACAGAGTTCGTGAACACTCTGAAGGAGATAAGCAGAAAGAAGTCTCCCCGATTCCCACTATCTACCAGGAAGAAGTGTCAGGCCACGACTGGACTGACGACACCGCAGAATTGGTCAGACGACTTCCCCACTACGACCTGCGATGCCGCCATGTACCGACAGCGATCAAAGACGATACCAGCCCTGCCAAGAACCCGTGATGCCGCCATATACCGACAGCAATCAAAGACGATACCAGCCCTGCCTAGAACCCGTGATGCCGCCATGTACCGACAGCGATCAAAGACGATACCAGCCCTGCCTAGAACCCGTGAAGCCTCCATGTACCGACAACAATCAAAGACGATACCAGCCCTGCCTAGAACCCGTGATGCCGCCATGTACCGACAGCGATCAAAGACGATACCAGCCCTGCCTAGAACCCGTGATGCCGCCATGTACCGACAGCGATCAAAGACGATACCAGCCCTGCCTAGAACCCGTGATGCCGCCATGTACCGACAGCGATCAAAGACGATACCAGCCCTGCCTAGGACCTGTGTAGCCGCCATATACCGACAGCGATCAAAGACGATACCAGCCCTGCCTAGGACCCGTGAAGCCGCCATATACCGACAGCGATCAAAGACGATACCAGCCCTGCCTAGAACCCGTGATGCCGCCATGTACCGACAGCGATCAAAGACGATACCAGCCCTGCCTAGGACCTGTGTAGCCGGCATATACCAACAGCGATCAAAGACGATACCAGCCCTGCCTAGGACCTGCGTAGCCGCCATATACCAACAGCGATCAAAGACGATACCAGCCCTGCCTAGGACCTGTGTAGCCGCCATATACCAACAGCGATCAAAGACGATACCAGCCCTGCCTAGGACCCGTGAAGCCGCCATATACCGACAGCGATCAAAGACGATACCAGCCCTGCCTAGGACCCGTGAAGCCGCCATATACCAACAGCGATCAAAGACGATACCAGCCCTGCCTAGGACCCGTGAAGCCGCCATATACCAACAGCGATCAAAGACGATACCAGCCCTGCCTAGGACCCGTGAAGCCGCCATATACCGACAGCGATCAAAGACGATACCAGCCCTGCCTAGGACCCGTGAAGCCGCCATATACCAACAGCGATTAAAGACGATACCAGCCTTGCCTAGGACCCGTGAAGCCGCCATGTACCGACAGCGATCAAAGACGATACCAGCCCTGCCTAGAACCCGTAAAGAAATCAACCTCCAAGGTCCATGGAGAAGACGAAGACCGGGAAGGATTTCCTTATCAGCGAGGACAACATGTTCCTGTTTTCCACAGATGCCAACCTTCGACTCCATCAAACTTGTTTATAACCCAGGCTTCGATTGAATAATTACATCAGACACGAGAAATACCAAAATGATAACCACTGATTGCTATATATCTTTGACATCCTCGGAAAAGGGTGAACATTATTGAAATATTTTACATAGTATAGGTAATCCGAGTGTTGCCACCACTAATGTATACTTCGATGAAGTCATTAACTGAGCGCATCAAGTGAATAACGACATATACACAAGTGTAGCACTTCTACCCTAAAACATACCGAATAGTAATTGTTGTATAGTATGCAATGTGTCTGATACAATACGGGTCGTCGCTGTTTTGTGTTCATTGGTGAGCGAGTGAGTAAGTTTTAATTTACTCCGCTTTTAGCAATATTCCAGCAATATCACGGAGGGGGGAAACCAGAAATGTGCTTCACACATTCTACCCATGTGGGAAATCGAACCCGGGTCTTCGGCGCGACTAGCGAACGCCTCAAACACTTGGCTAGCCCACCGCCCCTTGAGTTCATTAACTGGACTTTATTGTTATAAACAGAATAGGTACACGTGAGTGCAGTACTCTGAAAAACACAATTATACATACACATTGGCTCATATATGAGTTCGCTTCCTTGATGGTCCGATATTCAAGTTGTTGTTTAATTGAGGCTGAGCGTCCTGGCACTGACTAGACGAAAGGAAGTTGGATTTTTGTTTCCCTATAAATACATCAGCTGTAATCGCATAACTGTTGAAACTCTTCGCTCTTTGTCTGCCACACTAAATGCAATAAATTATGCAAAACCTGTAGGGGATATTTTGTTTTGATGTGAAAGTGCAGAAACATACAACATTGTACTGTCTAGTGAAGACACATGAAAGACACAGATCGTCGTTACATTTAGCTGGAATAATGCCGATTGAGGAGTTGTATTCAGGAAACATAGAACTGATATGG